CTAAATCGTCCGGTCAGTGTGCTCGCGGCGAGCTTCCAAAGGATTACAGGCAATTCCTGACCTCGGTTGGAGTCTTGAGAGACGACCCGCGTTGCGGAACTGCGCACAGAGAGAGAGAGAGAGAGAGAGAGAGAGAGAGGGGGGAGGACTTGCATATTAATACTTTGCCGAGGATCTCTATCATGCATATTCCAAGCAGCGCAAACGATGATCGAGTGAACCGCGGCGCGGGTTGGACGTGAGAATTCACAGATCTACGATTTGCGAAATTCGACGGCTGCGAGTCCTCTCGCTTAATTTTACTTTCTAATTCACGGACTCGGATTTTCGGTGGAACAATGTGGTCGCTCGTTTATTTATCTTTTACTATTTACTTTTTACCTAAGCGAGAGTTTTCAGTTCTCGACGTAATGTTATATCACGCGCGCACACCGATAGAGCGCACCTTAAATATTATATAATTTCTATGCAAAATATTTTGTTAGGCATCTCACGACTTTAAAGTTATTTTACTCCCGAACAAATATATGGGATTGCTTTCGAAAGATTGCTTCAATTTCTAAACGTGCGAGGATGTATATTAACACACGGTGCGTTATGTTTATCTTCTGCACAATAAAAGTATTTTGTGAGACATCACTCGTGAGATATGGATCGTAAACGCCGCGGAGTAAGTAGTCGAAGACGCTTTGTGTCATTTCTGCGCCCGTCTGGCCGCGCACGTCTGAATCTACTAATAGTGCTGCGTCCGCAACTCGTATTCTTCATAAATACGATATCAGCAAATAATTTTATCACGGCTGAATTTCGCGTAAAATATTCCTCATCTTGTACTCTTACAAAAAAAGTTCAATTATTGTTGAAATAACAATGGAAGACGAACGGGTACGCTGAATCTAAATGCGTTGTGTTTTAAAATACACCAAATCATAAAATTCCATTTTCTCAGATATCGCACAGTTCTCACAGTACTTATTAACAATATTAAATAGCTGTGTCAAATCAGCGCTTCAAATGATTATTTATGTCTCTTACATCTTTAGACAGACGTATTCAGATTTCGTCAAAAGTGGCGAAGGATATTTCCCTCTTCCTCGTAACTTTCCGAATAACTTTCAACTACCTGGATTTTAGTATCCACTTACAGATTTAACCCCTCGTTGATGATAATATATTACGTCGAGGGCTTTAATATATGTATAAAGTTATATTAATGGTTGCGACACTTAATAGTTGCAGATGACAAGCGATATTACATCGGCTATTCGAGGCAATGTCTGTATAATGCAGAGCTATGTTAATTTGCGTATGCTCGCACACGGAACATGCATTCCATCATTACCAAGCGGTGCGCGCTTCATACAGTTATACATTGTTCTAGCAAAGTGTTAACGTAGTATTTGCATAGCGCATATTACATGAGCTTTCGTCTATGGGAAATATGCCGTCTCGGGGTATTGCCCGGTGATTCGCGTTCTTCGGCATCGTACGATTCGATGCTGCGGCGTTAAGCGATATATATCGTTGTACCGCGTGGTTCTCGCGATTGATGAGGAAGCTGCAAGGAAAATATGCTGTCGGCTCGCTCGCGATTTTCCGATTTCTCGCAGTCGAGCGAGTCAATTTCGCGCAAGCGCCTTCCTATCGAATTGCTCCGGCGTGTTGTGCTAAAGTAAAAGGAAAAGAGGAAGAGGATGAAAATGGAATAGAGCTCGCTGATCGTTGATCATACACACACCAGTCGAAGGTAATTCTAAGCAATTCGTTTCGAAAAACGGTGCGAAAAAATGACAAGCTAATGATTAAAAGCTGGAATACCAGAGAGTATGATTATAAATATTATCGAAAAATCATCGACATTATTATCCTCCCTTAAAAAAAATCCTTAAAAAAACTAAAACCCTTCAAAAAAATTTCCTTACCGTCCGCGCGACTCTTATTGGCCAAAAATCATTTTTTAATGCGACTGATTATCCAGAAAAATGAAACACGCACGCACATAGAGAAGTACATTCGGTCCTCCTCGATTCCCGATCCGTCGGGCGCAAAGAGACCGAATTACGCACAGCGACAATGATCGTTCTCTCGTACCGCTGACGTCGTTTCCTTCGACGAGACATATTCGCCGTGAAGAACGAAACAAGTCACGAAAATCACGAACGAGCTTAATGACGACGAGTCACTTGTCGAGTCACAGATAAATTGGCGAAGATATTTAACGGGTCCCGGATGTGTGTGCTGTTCCACTCACGATCGGACGGTTTCGCCGCTACACTCGCCGAACATTCCCCAATAATTAGGATCGTGGGAATTCGCCGCGAGTATCCAGTCGTATAACTCGGGCGGTTGAGTAATTAGTTCCGCTCCTCGAACCGTTCCGCTATGGACCACGCGGAAAAAGAGAGATCGCAGCCTGCTGATCGATCGCGAAAGTACGGAGGCGAGGCTCGCACGGGATGCCCTTTGCGTTTGTAATTTTACTTCTGATCGTATCAATCAACGCAATTTGCTTCGTTGCTTCTACAAGCTTCACCCTATATTACCTTCACGATGCAAGATTGCGAGAGAGAGAGAGGGAGGGAGAGGGAGAGAGAGAGAGAGAGAGAGAGAGAGAGAGAGAGAGAGAGAGAGAGAGAGAGAGAGAGAGAGAGAGAGAGTAAGAGAGAGGCAAGGGGAGGGAGAAAGAGACCTTAAATTGAGAGGAGCATCCCGGAGCATCTTGCCTTTCCGTCCGCTTTTGCATAATGCATGTAAACGCAGCATCATCTTTACTCTTGCAAGGAAACCGGTGGAGTCCCGCTCACAGTAATCTCGGGAGATGCAGCGCCCGTCGCTTCTTATAGAACGCACCGCGCGATATCACCTCACTCGGTGTCCGGAATAACATACTCGCGATTCACAATGAACGTTGCATAGCGACAGTTACCGGATGCACGCTCGTTGGTGCAACGCTTCGACGAGCTACGAAGTAGCACGTCGGACGACGTGAAGCTTTAAGCGTCTCCTATTTGCGTTTCTCGGGAGGAATCTCGTAAAGCAATCTCCACCCACGCCGCCTGATATAATAGAATTCAATAGAATAACATAGCCTATTTCGCTTCTGCGATTTCGGTCTGCCACAAAGCGGAAGCATTGATCGTGTCAGCTTTGCGCGCGCGCGTACACAGTTCCTTCATTCCGAAGCAATATTGTTATCCGAGGTGGTCGTGCGCACGCTTGATAAAACAAATTCCGTTCGTTATCGCGACAATAAAACGTCGTGTTCATTAAACGGTCCTGCGGTGTTTAGAAAGTTGTGTCAACGTGTCCGACGTAATCTTGCGAGCGAGCGAGCGCTCGTTTCCGACCCGGTCACGTTCGCCTGACACATTTCCGCGGAGACAACACACTCCGTTACACAGCTCATCGTTACAGCCCCGGGGTCTAAGTATCTCCATGGGAATACCATCATGGCCGGTGCAGCCGTGATTCATTGACTATGGATGTGTATCGCTTGAAAGAGAAAGAGAGACGCATACCGCGAGCTCGCTCCGCCCTTGGTATTTCGCTTACAGTACAACGAAGAAGGATGCGACTATTGTAGCACGCTGAAATACTCAATTAATCCGAGCAGAGCATTCGCGACGTCTAGATGTATCTTGAATTGCGATATGAATTGTTGAGGAAATATCTAGAAGTTATATAGAAATTCGTTAACTCGGAGGGTTCTAATCATCGCACGCGACAAAACGGCCGAAGATATTCCGTATAAATTATTTCAGGTGATCTCGGACAATCTCGACAATGTTCCTCTTGAAATTGTAATAAGAGGTACAACGAGAGCTATGAGTTGAAGGGGGAATCACATGCGAAAGGCCGTTTTCAAAGCTATTTTTACGAATTTTTTTAACAGAAACGATAAAATCAATGGACTTGAAATTTCCACAGTGTATTCATGTTCAAAGTGTAAAATAAATTTTATTGAATTGCAAGAACCAATCCAACTTGTAATTTTAGATAAAAATGCAGTCATCCGTTTGCTCTATGTTTGTTGCCGATAATTCCGGGCCTCTCATTTCTCTAAGATCAAAAAATGAGAAAGATTTTTAAAATATACCATTATAGCCCGTACCAAAATGAAAGCAATGAAGCAGAGTTTGGAAAAATAATGGCTGTAAAAAGAATATCGAAAATGAAACATTTTTCAACTTGTAATTATGTCTGAAAAAATGAATAAAATATAATATAACTGTGTTCGAGGGCGAAAATTACATACCTATTATACATTGTGTAAAAATGTCTAGTTATTCGGTTCAATAGTGTTTGTGTAATCGTGTCGACAGTTTAAAAAAATGGTGTTTTCATATAAACGCATTTAAAGTTTCATGTGTACTTTCCATACAGATAGTAACAAATTTATTTTATATTGATACTTTTGAACGCGTTTAAAATTAAGTGGACATATATTTATATGAATATTTGTTAATGAACAAAATTTTTCTACTCTTCACATGTTGTATAAATATATCTAAAATTTTCATTCTTGCACATTTATTCAGTTCATCGGAAAATATTGTCAAAAACAAGCACGGTTTTCCAGCAATCTGACCCTGCAGTCCCCTTAAGGGAGAAAAAAGCACCGGGCAATACAATGAAAAATATTGTCTGCACGTATAAAAATATAATAAATTTTCGATTCCCAACGTTGATGAGCGTTGGTGCCCCGCTCCAATGAGACTCTCATGAGACTCCTCGCTGCTGTGCTGTATTTTTTAACGAAACGATACACACGGTCGAGCCGTGCAAACTGCAGTAGCAGCCGCCACGTTCGGTAATTTCACGTCGGATTGCAACATGTTGCGACCTTCTCGCACTTTTCGATCTAACATGCCCAGCTAGCCAGCCAGCCAGCCAGCGAGACGCACAATGCGCGTCGTCGCTCGCGATAAACGGACGTCCGGAGCGGCCGTTCAGCCTCTGACGAATAACGTAACACGTTGTGAACGACGTTTGTGACACAGATCGTACGGGCCGACCGGCAGGATTTGTCGTCAGAGCGGATCTCTTGTTCGCAGCACCGGAGCTACTCGAAATTCAACATCCACTGCCTGGAGCACCAAACGCTGCACCAGACGAGCCCTGGTTCGGCGGCATTCGGCGGCCCGATCGCGCGGCTGAGGCAGAACAGCGTGTTCGTCGGCTCGAGCGCGTCGCTGCTACCGCTCGGCCGGGAGACGCCGCGGCGCGCCAAGAGCGCGTTCGACCTGCAGTCGTTGGTGTTGATGGAGGGCGTCGTCGCGCGATCCGGTAACAACCGCGGTAACGACAACGACGACGACGACGACGACGACGACGACGACGATAACGACGGCGACATCGTCTGTAATAACGATGACGACGACGGGGAAGAGCGCGACGGCGACACCCTGAGGACCCTGCGCTCCATCGGCGAGACGTTGTCGCAGCAGCAACCGTCGCGGCTACCGATGCTGCAGCAACGCGAACGCCGGCCGAGCGTCTACCAGTTTGACCGGATGGACGTGTTGGCCAGGCCGACGCTGCAACGCGAACGCGGCATGAGCATCTGCCACTTTGACCGAACGGATGTATTGGCGCGGCCGACGTTGCTGCAGCAACGTGACCGCGGCATGAGCATCTGCCAGTTCGACCGGACGGACGTGTTGGCGCGGCCGATGTTGCTGCAGCAACGTGATCGCGGCATGAGCATCTGCCAGTTCGACCGGACGGACGTGCTGGCGAGACCGATGTCGTTGCAGCAACGTGACCGCGGCAACAGCGTCTGCCACTTCGACCGGATGGACGTGTTGGCGAGGCCCACGCTTTTGCCGTCCGGGAAATCGCTGCTGCGCGAGAGACGAGTCAGCGTGTGCAACTTCTTGGAGCGGAACCACGACGAGACCGCTGGGGGCAGCAGGGGGCTACAGCGCGACCGGCGGCTGAGCGTCAGCAACGTCGACAAGATGGAGATCTCGGACAGGTCCTCGTTGTCGTCCAGGGACTTCCGCGGCAGCGTCAGCAACGTGGTGGATCGGCAGGACAGCCAAGGACCGAGACTCGCCCGCGACAGGAATAACGGCTCGTCCACCTACCACTTCGACCGTCCGTCCTGCAGCAAAACGCCTGACGTCGTGCTAGGCTACAAGGCGACGTGCGTGTAATCGCGCGGGAAAGCAAGTCTGACGGCTCCGCTCCTGCGTTTACCGTCAGTGAAATCCGCGGCGCTGACGAGCGCCGCGCGCGTTCCGACCAGATTCTTGTCGCCGGTATCCCCGTCGGCCTTAAACCGGTTCACACAAGCCGAAGCGCGGCTATGTGATGGATGGACCCGCGTCTGTCTGGGAGCTCAAAGGCGTCCCTTCTGCTTTCCTCCATTTCCTCCGCCGACGCGATATGTTTTGTGCGCGCGCGAAATTAAGCGCGCCGGCTAATTTCCTTAAAGCGCGTGCTCCATCATGGACTTGTACGCATCGACTTGATTGCAGAAGACGAGATCTCGAGGGAAGCTGTACTCTCCCCTGCCGCTGTCCGTGGGCACTTGATCTTCGTCTAGATCGTGCTTGTCTAGTCACTTAGCTACAATAAGAGTCAAGCAGACAGAGAGAGATCGAATGCCTGCGTTAATAGGACAGCTTTGTTTGAGCAGCTTCCTGCGGAGCGCTCGGAGTATTTCTACCGCGTAGACATTTCTCAGCATTTTTCCAGGTACGACGCAGATTAGAATTTTCAATTCTTTTTTCAAAATCGGTTATCGCGTTGCGAGATACTAACCGATACCATTTTTTTCTGAACATGACTTTTCTGCCTCAAAATGAAAAATATAGAAACTTGTCTTTTTTCAGCTTAACTTCGGGTTTAAATTTCGATATATTTTCATGATGTCGAATAGAAGATGAAATATTTCCACCGGCAATATTTTATTCAAAATCAACAATAAAAATAAAAAAAAAGGATAACATTCTAATGCAAAACGGAGAAAAAAAGAGATTGGAAAAACTTGGAGTTTCCCGCTGAAAATCACATACGGAGAAAATTCTTTTGAAAAATATCAATACATATATTAATTCTCCGGAATTACCATACTAACTTGTCGAGTTAAAATATCCTCAAATTATTTGCGTTTGAAGTTGTCTTAACGTGGTACAAGTTGCCATATCAACAAGCAAAGTTACGCGAGCGAACCATCAATTAATTGTCGTAATTAGTTACGCGGTATAGCACAGCACGGTATAAAAATGTCCTTCGTTTTGAGATATATTTCGTTTGGGAACGTTTTGGGAAGCACTTCTAACCTGAATCTACACAAGTTTCGGAAAATTAGGTCAGATTCCGATTAAGAATCCTAGGAAATTTTCAAGATGGAATGTACACGAGTCTATGCGGGCCGCACGGAGATCGGTCGGCAAGACCGATGCTGAGATATTCAACGAAAACGGCGAACCGCTCACTTCCGCCGGGATTTGCTTGCATACTTTCGACAGAAGGGATATTGTTTCCTTGTTCGTTCCCTCTTTCCATTTTTATTTTTTTCTCTCCCATTTCGCTGTCCGCGTTTCGTTTAGCCACAAAATAAACGTAGTAGCGAAACTACCGCGCGTCGATTCGAACAACTCTGCCGTCTCATGAATGATACATGACGGACGTTTCGATCAAATCACCGGGGAACCTGCCGTTCGTTACTCGACAATTCGTTAACGGTGTATTCGAGAGTTTTAAGCTGAACGGCGAGGGAACCGCGGGGGAAAATGGAGGAGACGCGCGCGCGCGGCGCGAATGCAGTCGTACGCCGATTTCCACGGTGAACGAGCGGAGCGGAGATGACGATCGCGCGAAATTGTAAACCGGGTTGTCTCTCGCGTACTTCTTTCTTTTTCTCAACTCTCTTGAAGCGCCTCCCGACGGCCCGAGATCCCTAATTACTGTCTTCGAAAATCGCGGACTCACGAGCGAGCGCGCTCGGTATGATGACATCGGTTCTACCGGGGAGAGAAACCAAAAGCTTTAAAGAACCGATCGACCAATTGATTCCCTCTCTTCGTCCCGTTCTCTTTCCCTCACTTTTTCTCCATCTTTACACTCGTAGATGTAATTATAAGTGGAGGTCTTCACTCCGTGTCTCTCTCTTTCTCCCTTTGTCTTTCTTACACTATTACTCCTTTTCGTCCTCGCGAGACGCAAGCTGTCGTAGGAGCGAGCCGTAGAAATTAGTCTATTCTTCGGAGACGAGGTCCCGTGTAGCACCTCCTCCGACTCGTAGACGTACGCACGGGCTCTCGCGAATTGTCTGCACGCGCGAAAAAGCGCGCGCAAGCCGGCGGGGCGCTTGCGCGCGCTTCGTCGTCGGCGCGGCCGAGATCGCTCGATCCCGCAGAACTCGTGAAATCGCTATCGAGCATCCGAGCGGACATCCACGCACGACGAAAGAACGACACATGCTCAGGGATTATTTCAAAGGAGAAACCAGAGGAGATAACGAAAAAGAAACAAACGTCTTCACTCCTCCTCTCCCCGCACATCGGAAACAATCAGCCTCCGCGCTTGTTGCGGAGCTATCGGGACGCGCGTCCGCTTTTCCGCACATAATCGAATGCCGTTCGCCAGGCCCCGTTATTTTGGCGAACGTTCAATTGGCTTGATTTCTCGATTAATCGCGCGCATCGACCGATTTGCATTAATTAATACACGTGCTCATTTGCAGCCGCGCGGCGAGCGCCGCATCGCGAACGGCGAAAGACTGCATCGTCACGTACACCAAACTTCATAAATGCACTCCTGTTCCCTGAATGAAGAAGATATTCAATTGTCAAAAGGAACGATCATTCAGTATACTTCTTTTTTTCTTCTTTTTTTCTCAGGTAATGTTAATCTTCAGTAAAAAAATATTTGCTTGATAACAATTTTGAGCTGTACTCACCAAATCAAATTTTAGAAACATTCGTCATCATGTACTCGAAGGAAGACTTTATTTTTTTTTTTCAAGGATGTTATAAACTTTATATAAAAGAAAGAAGAAACCAGATTTTGGCTTTAATTTAATATTCTTCGTTGAAGTACTAAACTTACTAAGATTCAGAATGTATCTTGGGTAAATCTGATGCTTATGGTGAACTTGTAACAGATTTTCAGACATACAACCTTATGAAATATTTGAAATAAGCAATATCGCATTCCAATGCAGTGTGTATTTTTCTGTGTGTGGCCTAGTAACATTTTCTGTCAGGAGCATGTCTAAATACTTACGAGTCATAATTGTTGATTATATATTCAATAATTGATAAATAATTGATACATCAACAATCATGATGTATGAATATTTAGATATGATATGTCTGAGCGAAAATGTCAAATGTCATCATGCTAGGGGAACAGGATTGCATTTGTAACATGAAGTTTGCTACAAAAGCGGACTTCGAAATCGCGTCCCTCTCGGTTTCGAAAATGAAAAGAGAAAGGAATGACATCACGAAGTTCTCTCCTCGCAGTGTAACGCAAGATTATCGTAAAGTACAAAAGACGCTCGATGAACCATTACTATTCTAAAACCATCGTACGCAATAGAAATGTAATATTATATCATCGCCGTCATATCTTCACAAAGATATAATATATCCGTTTTACGATATAACGAAATGACATATTTTGAATAATCGATAGTTTTACTACATGGCGCATGCACACACATACACACGCGCGTTGTGTATGTGACTATGCACATTCGTACGTGCGTAAACTGATATGTCACACAGATATTTTCAGAGAGCCTACATATTTTTATCTATCGAGGTGTAAGAGAGAAATTAAACTTTTAACGAAATTATTCATAGACTTAGTTCCCTCAACATTGAGCGATATATGTAGCGTGCGCGTTCGATACTGGAGTGTTTCTAGAGGGTGATTAATAGTCGCATGAGTATTCGTAGCGTAAAAATGAAGGAAATTATCTCACCCAGCCGACATTATATTTCTCCCCCTCTCTGTCTCTCTCCTCTCTGTTTCTCTTTGTTGTCAGAGTCTTACTAAAAGAAAATTTGATGAGTAGAGAGAGATATATAATCGGGACTCAATGTCTGCTTAATTCATTCAAGATCACCCGACGCGATCATCTGTATGAAAATTACAACGAGATTATTGCATATGTATATTAGCAGATAAGATGTTTGAAATGTTTAATTTCGCGGGAGAAATTGGATCTCTGATGAGATGAGAAAATTATCATAATAATTCTGGCGTGCATTTACGCAAAATGCGAAAACGTGAATTATCGGCGACTGTTGTCACTTTCTTCTTGTCACTTTCTTCTGTTCTTGTCTCGACATGATCGCACGGCTATAATCGAAAAGCATAGCCCAATAACATACTGACAAGGAGATGACGCAATCTGTTTCATCGATTTCAACACGAGTCATAGCGCACTCGATAGCTATGATGCCGTGTATAAACGTCCTAACATAATATGCGTGAATGCGTCTTTGTTTACGAATAATTTACAGTTAAAGTTTGGCTCGCGGAGCCGTGCCTGCCACACATAGGGCGCAAGTTACGACACTCTTTCACGAAGCGGCGTGGCTGATTGTGAGCAGACAGAGGCTCCCGCGCCGCGAACACTTTTGCGCCAACGACGGCGTTCGAGTCCCGCCGACGACGGGTTCGTTTTTTTTTCGTATCTAACGACATGTAATAAATATTTTTATATTGTTCTTATGTATAATTCCTTTTTTTGTTTCTATGCTATTAATCAAGGCTAATTAGGAGAGTCAGGTCTTTCAAATATGAACACAACTTTTTTATTAATTACAATAAAATGTTTTTGTCCGTATCAAAACACACACACACACACACACATAAGACAAATATAAGGCACATAAATGAAAGTTACGTATTATAAAATGTGGTCATGCAGTCGCAACTCTGCGGATGGAATGCCGTATAAAAGCATGTAAAACATAATAGTTTTTTGCACCAACTGCACGTAACGAACGCATAATTTTTTGCACAAATACACTTTTGACTATGTATAGTTGGTGGAAAACATATTTGATTGACATTGTAAAATACCTCGCGACTGTCAACAAGACTGGACGCATACTACGCATATTGGAGCATAAAATTGAAAACTGGTGCTGATAACAGATAGTGTGTGAGCGATTGTATACGAATCGCATCTTGCGAAGCGCGAGTGTTCAAATTTATACTTTCGTCGCCGATATATAAAGAAGGACAGTTCTGTATACGCTTTATAATGATTTTGACCTGTCTATAGAAATAAACATCGCACGGTTGACAAATTGGCGTACATTAATGTACGCCAATTTGTCAACCGTGCGATGTTTATTTCTATAGACAGGTCAAAATCATTATAAAGCGTATACAGAACTGTCCTTCTTTATATACCGGCGACGAAAGTATAAATTTGGTGGTATTGTTTGTAGGTTACACGTTGGCCTATTGTTATTATCGCGAAATATTTCGTTATACATATGGACATTCTTTTGTCCTCCCCAAGAATCAACAAGAAATAAAAACTGATGATTACCAACGTACGGCTTGAGAACCAGTTTCAAATATTGCTGGTAGAGAGACGTTGTTAATTTCCCTGATTTGGAGCAGACTGGAACAACATTTTTACATAATAGCAATAACGCATCTATCTCTTTCTGTACCCGGACTCCAAATATGTCGGAAGTCTTTTGTAAGCAAACGAACACTTTATTTAATAGCTTGCCCGATTGTGTGACAGAATATTGTGCAGTATAAGAGTGAGTCACTTTATTTAGATCGCCGATATATAATTGTACGAATTTTTCGCCAGTGTACGTTCGTGCAACATTTACGCGATATTCGCAGCCGGTTTGGTCAGAATTTACTATGAAATCCGGGTCGTAATCCGGTGATATACTTCTAATTAATTCTTGAAAGTGTACAGCGTATTCCATCACAGCTTGCGGTGATATTATTTCTCTTTTTGATAAATACCGAACAACTCGACGGTTAGAAATTTTGTATTCATGTAGAAATGACGTTAACCATGTGTTCGATGCTACAAAGCGGAAAGCTTTGCCATGTTCTTCGCTTTCTTCTCCTTGTTTGTTATATTGAACGGCTGCAGCCATCGCCCACTGTTGAAGAAGACGTCGCGTAACAAGTTGCCTTTGCTCTCTTGCTTCCGTAAACCGATCATACACATTCCGTTTTATTAATTGCAGCTTATCCCAATAATTTCCACCAGATAAAATGTATTTGCGGAAGCGTGCAACTTCACTGTGATAATGCAAATGCTGTTTAAACTTGCTTTGTAACGTACGGAAGCTCCAATTCGGATGTTCGTTTGCGGTCATAACTATTTTCAATTTTACATCATACGGCACTAGATCCATCGCTGCAACTTTTTGCGGAGGTTCGTAGTCTTCCGTTCTTTGACTCGTATGAGGCTTGTCCGGAGAAGACTCTTCTGTTCTTTGACTCGTATGAGGCTCGTCCGAAGAAGACGATCGAACATCTTCCATCGCGTCTTCTTCAATCACGTATTCTCCTTCTGCTATATAATATTCCACCTCATCTGATATTTTATGTTTTCCCAACAGTTTAATTAATTTTTCAAACAATTTTCCGCCAATTAATTTGGAATTTTTTGATAATTTTCTTGGCGCTTCATTATTAATTAAATTAAATTGTATCAGGACATCTGCAAATATGAATTCAATATAATTGATATTGTATACAAGGCCAATAACAATACGTACAAATATATCTTTCCATTGCTCACACATTCAATATATTTACCTCGAAGATATTCTATTCTATTGCGTCCGTCAACTCTTCTTTCGTAATATCACATTTTGCTAGATTTTGCACATAGCTGATCGTTGCTTCATCTACAAACGTGGTTTCCATTTTTAACACGAGTTTTTCACTGTTCACGTTACGAAGGCTGCCCAGAGAATGAAGCGAGCACGTCACAAAACATGAGAATCCCTCTGCGAGAAGGGGAAAGGGAAGAGGGTTCCTTTCCACTTGTAACGGTTCTAACGGCTCTCGGGTTTCTCTCACACAAAATAATCACTGTCTGCCCATTTCTTTCCCATACCATACGAAATATTTATGCGAAATAGATTTACACGAAAAAAACATTTTATTGTAATTAATAAAAAAGTTGTGTTCATATTTGAAAGACCTGACTCTCCTAGTTAGCCTTGATTAATAGCGTAGAAACAAAAAAAGGAATTATACATAAGAACAATATAAAAATATTTATTACATGTCTTTACATACGAAAAAAAAAACGAACCAGTCGTCGGCGGGACTCGAACGCCGTCGTCGGCGCAAAAGTGTTCGCGGCGCGGGAGCCTCTGTCTGCTCACAACCAGCCACGCCGCTTCGTGAAAGAGTGTCGTAACTTGCGCCCTATATGGGGCACGGCTCCGCGAGCCAAACTTTAACTGCAAATTACTCGTAAACAAAGACGCATTCACGCATATTATGTTAGGACGTTTATACACGGCATCATAGCTATCGAGTGTGCTATGACTCGTGTTGAAATCGATGAAACAGGTTGCGTCATCTCCTTGTGAGCTATGGAGAAATGATAAAGCTATGTACCTTACTTGCGGTAGTTAATGTGTTATTGTTCCGAAGCGGTCAATTGCAAAAATTGCAAACGAAATGATATGCGAGAGCATCGTCCTGTGAGATGTATTAGAATATTTCTCGCGACCAGAGCGCGAATGTTTACCTCTATTGTCAAATTTTATCGAACTATTATAATAACTAGCTCACTCTCGTGTCAGCTGTCGAAATTCATTAACAACGGGACCTTCTAATTAGTCAGTAATGAGGTGTAGAATAATGAGATATACAAATACGTAGCCACGTTCAGACCAAAGATAAGCTTTAAATTTAAGATTACTATACCATTTTATGCGAGAGGCGTGACACAGAATCACAAACGAAGACTTAACCGGTTTAATAGAAGAAGCTCACGGAACAGCTTTACAAGCAGCTTTACAAAAGTTTTAAACACACACATGCGTCCGCATACTGATTGTTCTTCGAGAAATATTAAACTCCTCATTTTCTAAGCTAAATTCTTTATACTCTCATACTCTGTATTAACATTTCAGAGCTTTCAAAATGTTACAAAACAGGTTACAATGAGTTAAATCAATTTTTTCGATGCGTCAAAGTCTCTCGTTTTTTATTTCTTTCTTCCTCTAAACACACTTTATGTCCACCAAAAACGATAAGTCTTCCTTAGTTTCTATCGTAGATCAATTCCCACTTTGACCGAAGGCGATCGGCGTTTTCCGTCGCGCTAATCTAATCTGACCGGGCTTGAAATTGATTCTCCAACCGGAAGAGTAACCAGTACACGTCTATCAGAAGCACGGCAGTCTCAGCAGCTGTATCCAGCAGTTTTTGTTTCACACCGCTACGACGTCTAGAGCCGGAAATATCGGCGTTTCCGCCTCCGACGCGCTTCCGATCGCCTCGGCGCTTTTAGCGAGTCTGCCCGCGGCATCTGTTATGCGCGGGTGGGGTCAGGCCCCCGCGTTCGGAATGTTCGTCGCAGCTACATTGTACTTCCAGAATGCGGGCCCTTCCGCCTTTGTAGTGGCTAGCTCTGGCCGCACGCCGCACGTGCTTCGTCCGCCGGCTGTCACGCATGCGTAGTGAACACGACCCAACCGACACGAGGTCGTTCACTTCCTTCGAGCTCGCTCTCGCTCGCACTTCACGGCGCGTTTCGTTCTGGGCACACGATGCGACAGAGGTGGGGGATGTCTCGCTCGCTCGCGTCAGGTCGCCGAAACTTCAGACGGCTGTAACTCGCGAACGAGTCGACGTAGACGCGTGAAACAAGAAGCGATTCTTGCAGTGCGCGCATGTATCGCTCTTTTCCTTTTCGTCATTCATGTCGATTCGCAGGACGATCGTAGATCACGGATTAAAGGGAGGCTTTACGCACGACGCATCCTCTTTTTTCTCACTCGCGGCAGAAATTGGAATTAAATTAAAGCTTGAAGTAGCTGTGTAACTTCTTCCTTCTGTCATCCTTTCTCGATTTCCATCTTCCATCGTGACGATAACGAGATCAATATTGTTAGATCGTAGATCGAAGCGCAGGAATAATCGGAACATGGTTCGCGGAATGAAGAGCCGATTAGTTTGCGGACGTGTGTGTTTTATCGAAATTTTCTCCTCTGCTTCGGTGAGCTCGATCAGCCGCAGCTCAGTCTTTGCTTGTAATCCCGGCACGCCCCGTAAAATACGAATAATTCATAAATTGCATTAATTTTGCGATGTCACGCTGAGACGTGTCTCAGTAATGCAACGTTCGTTGCAACATATTTGAAACTCTCGACGATTTAGACTGTTCCAATCAAAAGAACTCGAGTTCTAAGAGTAAGAGCGCATATTTTTCCATAGGCGTCCAGTAAGTAAACACGAGGCAGGCATTTCTTGCGTACACGCATTATTCTTCTGCACAAGAGCGTCGCATTTGTTTATTCATTTGCCTACGACTCGCTCGACGAACGGCGGAGCTTCAACACTTTTCCTCCGACGCACTTCGGAGCGCAGCTGTGACGGCAGAATTTATTCTTGAATAATTCTCAAAAGATACCTTTTGCTCATTGGACATTGCGCGGACGTTTCGGAATGCGTCGCGAGTCGCTGAGTCGTTCCGCAAAAGAGCGTGCATTAATCTCGACTTGCCGGCGAAATTGCCAAATAATGTCCATTCTATCGACGGCGTTGAGTGACGTCGATTGTTTCGCAAATTCCGCGAAATGTGAGAATTCCCGCGGGAACATCGAGCGTGCGTTTTCGTTCCATCCCTCCCTTTCTTTCTGTTGCCTTTTCCTTTATCTTGGCCCGCACACGCTCGAAGATTTTGAAGGTACAATGTCAAAGCACCATGTATGAATGAGAACAGTAGCGTTAATCTTCGGACGTGGCACGAACATATGATGATGGATGATCAAGAGAGAGTCTCTCTTTATTCGTCGCGGAGAGCGACCCGCGAATTGGGCGAATTTGTCGCGGCGTAAGAATGTTTATGATTCCAGTCGACGCTAACGATTTATGTTACGGCATACCGATGTAGCCTACATTGTCTTCGGTCGCATGTTCGCTCCGTTTGCAGTCAGAGACTGGATGCGAATCGCACGACGGCGATCAAACGACGCGCATTTTGAACGTTGTGTTAAAACCGTATGCGTGTATTTCCGATTGTCGCATCGAAAGTTTAAACATCGTTGGAGCTCCCGCAGCGCGCGCTCTGGGGGAGTGGCTTAATTAATAATATATTCGACCGGCCGGCTCTTATTTCCCGTCCGCTCGTTAACGCGACCGACGGTATCGAATGGTTTGTTTATATATATATGATTTTTATGGTCTCGTGCAATTTTTAGATTATAGAGAATAATTTTGTGAGTATGTTAGCGAATGACTTTTTTACAATAAACATTGTTTGAAAGGACATCGAAATAAAGGCTTTCAATGACACGAAGGGAAACGTAATTCCAAATTTCATGTAAAAATGGGGGGAGGAGACGAGCGAGTTCCTCTCTCTCTCTCTCTCTCTCTCTCGTTCTCCTCCTTTCTCCCTCTCCCTCTCTCCCTCCATCACAGTTTGCTGTGGCAATATTTGGACAACGATCGTCGATGGATTAATCTCATCTCGGATTATCCGTGTTGTTGTTTCTCAAAAATACCAGCGCGGTGACAAATGCGTCCGTTAGCTCGCGCGCTTTCACGAACTTCCCCAAAGGAATTGCCCGGCGATTACCACACACGATAAAGTGCAGAGGAAGAGGCGGCGATGGCGGCGATGGCGGACGAAATGCACTGCCCTCGCGAAACCCAGTAGTTCTTTTGCCGACCGGAAATTCTCGTAAAAGCTCTCTCAATTTCGAAATATCCTGACGTGCCGCGTCGCGTCTTATCGCGCACGGCGATTATGAAGCTCGTTATCCTGAAACCGGTAGACTTTTAAAGCGAAGCGCACAAAGTGGTTCCTTCCGCCTCCCCATTCAAGCCTCCCCATTCAATTTGCCGAACTTTGGAATCCAACAACACGGAATAATTAATCCGGCGCGTTACGTTTCTCTTTTTCCGCAGCGGTTATTTCTATATCTGCCGACCGACAGTCACTTTTGCGTGATTTATCTCGTGAAAACGCGTCACACTTTTGTAATTCGCGCGGGGTTTACGACTTACTTTTCTTTTCCTTTTTGCTTTTTTTTTCCTTTGAGATAACAGTTTTTCTTTCGCGACAATTCCTTTGCGTGAAATGTTGCTCCTTTGAAACTTCGCGCTTCAACGTGTCTCTTGCACGATTTCGAGATCGAGTCTGAGCACGTACGAGCTGTCGACTGTTCCGTCATATTCGCCTTAAGGTGAAAGCATATGTAAGCGTCCCTCACAGATTTTGATGCACTTTGAACATATCGCGGAGTAACTAAAAATAAGAGACAGGCTTGTACGTGTGCCTTCGCATGTTCAATTTGTATTTTATTTGTTTAATTTAATTTTTCATTTGTTCCGTTTTACGCGCGTCTCGAGCTTTTATTTCATTTCGTCTCGCTTATTAATTTTATTTCGTACCCGTTTTCGCATGTTTAAATCTTCCGGTCTGATAAAATTCGTTTTAAAATTCGTAAGCGGATATCGTTGAAATTGAGTCACATATACATACGAAAAATTATTTCAGACAAAAGTTTTACAGTACTTGATACTCTTAATCGTAAATGTGTACGTTTGAACTTTTCAAGAACGTCGCTTTTTGACAAACCCCCGAGTCTCGCGTAACACATCTCTAAAAAACATGAATATAGAATTACAAGGTATATTATTGAATACATAAAATCCTTTCATCTGAAACATTTTTCTCTCTCACACAATCTGAAACAGTTTCAAACACGCTCGCTCATGGATTTCACCGAATCACCGTCCGAGGGGGAATTCTCTCAATCCCTAAACGCGCGTGAGAGGGCACACATGAAGAGACACGCGTCCGTTTTATTCCAGCTGCTTCACGACATATCGAAATCGGTGCAGGACGCTTCCATATGTTTCCTCGTTACACGTCCCGACTGACGTCCTTCCGGCGTGATGCGCGGATTGCCTTTACGATCGCGCTAAACTGTTTCAG